GCAAGGCCTATGCGGGCCAGAAGAGCAGTTTCACAGTGGACTGCAGCCAAGCAGGTGGGCAGTCAAGGCCAGTGCTGGCCCAGGGGAGAGGGAGTGGGGGAGTAAGAAGGGGCCTGAGGAGCTGGTCTGGGACTGAGAGCCCCCATCCTGCAGGCAACAACATGCTGCTGGTGGGCGTGCATGGCCCGAGGACGCCCTGCGAGGAGATCCTGGTGAAGCATGTGGGCAGCCGGCTCTACAGCGTCTCCTACCTGCTCAAGGACAAGGGGGAGTACACGCTGGTGGTCAAATGGGCCGATGAGCACATCCCTGGCAGCCCCTACCGCGTCACAGTGCCTTGAGCCCAGTGCCCCCCCTCACCCCCCCTGCCTCTCACCCTCCCCCACCTGTGGCCCCAGCTTTCACTTTAGGGCAACCCACCTGTCTTCTTCGGTTCTGTGAGGGTGGGGGACCTTGTACCCTGCCCCCATTCGCCTCTTGCCGAGAAATAAAGTTCTGCTTCTGTCTCTTGTGGTGGATGAGCCTTCCTCTTTGGGGGCGTGAGGGCTAGATCAAGCCCAGTCTAGCAGCTGACCAGGGCTCCTGCCTCTTGCCTCCCTAGTGGTCCACTGGCACCTAGGAGAAGGGTGTGCCAGAACTGGCAGCAGGAGCAAGGTCCTGAGGAAGGCCAGGGCGGCTGCTCTGTGCTGAGCACTGTTTTCTTGGGGCCATCCCAGCCCCACCGGGCCCTCCCCAGAAGATAGTGTGGTCACTCCTCCACACCCACACTAGCCCCGCCCAACAGCACCTACACCTAGATCAAACCAAGCGACTCACCCAAATGCTGACACAACTACCCATGAAAGTCGTGCTGCAAGGGCCCTGTGCCGCCAGCCCTCCAGGGGCAGTGGACACTGGCCACCATCCCCCAGGCACTGGATACACCCCCTCCACAGACACACTAGGGCAGGGTGCCACCCTCTGAGCCTAAGTCTGCTGCCACAGCAGGCTCCCACCTGAATCCTGACACCTGTCTGGACCTCAGGGGCAGGAGCCGGATGCCCAGGAAGGGGGGGCACCTGCAGAGAGCAGACCTGACTTAAGGCCCACCATAGTGGCAGCACCCCTCCGCAGAGCCAAGGAACCTAGGCTGGGGGAGGGGGCTCGTGGCGGAAGACATTTGGCTGGGCAGAACACTGAAATCAGACCCCCACCCCTTGCCTCACCACTGCTCCTGCTGCCCCCCCCTTGTCTGGCTGGGAAGGGGGAGGGGTAAGGTGCACTCTGGAAGCTTCTAGAAGCTGCTCAGCTGGAGAGGGTGTAGGTGGCATTCCCAGTAGCCAAGGGACACCCATAGAGCCATGCTGTGAGGCCAGTGCTGGCGGGAAGTGAGGTCTCCCCCAGGTTCATTCCGGCAGGCAGGCGCAGGCATGACCACCTTGTTTTTAATGTTGCAACGAATTGCAAAGTACAGTTCAATAGACTGTACCAGTCTGAGTTCTGGGAACTGGCTCTACGGGAAGGCAGTTCTGTCTCTGTTTTGGGCACGGTTCTTGTCTCTTTAGCTGGTTCCTTAGAGATCTCAAGGAGTCCTGGCTGCAAATCACAAGGGCAGCAGTTTGGACCCACCAGCTGTGCTGCTGGCATCATCTCCGGCAGTGGTTCTCAACCTGTGTGTCACGACCCCTCTGGGGGTTGAACGACCCTTTCACCGGGGTTGCCCGTATCATAACAGTAGCAAAATGACAGTGATGAAGTAGCAACAAAAATAATCTTATGGTTGAGGGGGTCACCACCACATGAGGAACTGTAGGAAAGGGTCGCGGCATGAGGAAGTTGAGAACCACTGCTCTGATCTACAGCCCTGGAAACCCTAGGTCTATTCTGCCCTCAAGAGTCACTCAGTCAACCAACTCAATGGCAGTGGGTTTGGGCTTATGGGTCTTGGAGATTTCAAGTGGTGTGACAGCTGGCTCCCCCCATCTGGCCTTGTTCAACCTCCTGGCTTAATCTGTTCTGCTTTTTATCTCAGTTTGTCTCTCTCCGTCATTATAACAAATGGAATCATAACAAGTAAAGGGATAAGGATTACCAAGCCTTTGGGGGTGGGGGGTGGCTATTCCGTCCATACATCCATAATAAATGGAGAGTAGGCAAATGAACCCAAACCCGGAAGGCGCTCCAGTATCCCCTTTCTGCTAGTGGCAAATGGTTAGCTTCGTCCCACTGAATAACCCCCCAAGGGACCTGCCCTTGCTGGAGGTAGGCAGAAGGGCATCCCCAGGCCCAGCTTCCCTGACACCCGCTAAGCCTGTGGGTGTCAGCCCACACACCCCAGGTACCATGTGATTTACCTGGCCACATGCTCTTCATAGTTTGAGCTTCTGTCAGGCCCATGTCACCAAGAGGGATATAGCCCAGTTGACTGTCCCTTCCTAGTCCTCCAATGTCCCTCTGACTCTATAACCTAACCTGCCCCTCCTTGCCACTACTAGCCCATCCCTTGGGAAAAGGACAGGTTTGCAAAAGAAGCAATTGCCCCTGGAATGTCGGCAAGGTCCTCAGTTCACTGCCATGAAGTCATGGAGAACCTGTAGGACAGGGTAGAACTTCCTCTGTGAGTTTCTGCAACTGTAACACTTTACAGAGTAGAAAGACTCTTTGTCCCACGTTTCAAACTGCTGATCTTGTGGTTAGCAGCCTAACCGGTAACCATTACGCCACCAAAGCTCCTAGCATTCCACTGTACAAGAGCCTCCTCACCCCACTCCTAAGTTCTGCCCACCCCCCTGAGAGGCCATGGTAGCCTGAGAGGGGAGCACACAGGTCAGGCCTAGGGTATAGGCTGTAGAATGGAGAGGACAAAATGGGGCAGGAACTAGTTATCTGGGGATACCCTTACCACTACTCAACCCAGACACCCATGCACATCAGTGGAAAGGGAGTCTACAACCCCCCAGGTAAAACAGGGCACCCTAGGCACAAGGTGGACACCTGGGCAGCATCTGACAAACCTCAAGACCACGAAGTCAGGACCTAATTCAAAAGTGGGAAGAAGAGAGCAGCGAAAAGCTCCTGAGAGCCCACAATACTGAGCATGAAGCGGCCACCACCACCCCCAGAGAAAGCCCAGGGCCAAGGAGCAGGGGCCCCGAGGGAGGAAGGCAGAGGTCTCCTTCCACCAGGAAGGTGGTTCTTCTAGAGACCACCTGTTCCCATAGCACAACATGGGGGGGGGACCTCGATATCTCCGGAGCCGCTGCTTGTTCTGGTGACAAATGGCTGGAGGCTGGCATTTCAGCCTGGATGCCACCACCCAAGACTGACCAAAGCCATAAGGTCATCTGCGCAGGGAGGGGGTCACCAGGTACCAGACGGCCAGGGAAGTATGGCGGGAAAGGGCTTGCTTCCAACCACCTTGGGGACAGCCATGCCCACGGCCCAGCAGGCTGTGGGCAGGGCTGCTCCAGTGCAGACGCCCTTCCAGGCTGCTGGTCCAGCCCAAGCCCCAGGCCAGTGACCCTGTGTCCTCCTCGCCATCCCCCCCCCTACCACCCCAATGACCCTTCCTCTGGTCGCTGCAGAGTGCTTCCAATGCCTGGCTCGCTGCCTCCCTCCTGGCAGCCCTACAGACAGTTGGTAGGGGCTTGCTGAGCCCTAGCCACCCCATCCCCACCTGGCCTGCAGATGGCACCCCTCAGCTGCGACCCCAGGCAGGGGAGCGAGGCTCAGTCCCTTCCCTGTCTTTCTGAGCCCCCATGCCTGGGGCAGGAGCACCTCCCTCAGCAGCAGCTCGGCCCCAGCGCCCCCATCCCCACTTGGCCAAGCCTTGGCTCCTGGGGACCCTCAGGACCAGAGCCTCTGGCCATGGCACGGCCCTCCTTCCCACCACTGCTCTGATCAGCAGGGACCAACTCTCTCT